ATTATTAATCTTACTTTTTCGGTCATATTTAATAATATATGTCTACAGGAAAGACTGCTACCAAAATATACTATATATATATATATATATATATATATATATATATATATATATATATATATATATATATATATATATATATATATATATATATATATATATATATATATATATATATATATATATATATATATATATATATATATATATATATATATATATATATATATATTATATATATGTCGTACCTAGTAGCCAGAACGCACTTCTCAGCCTACTATGCAAGGCCCAATTTGCCTAATAAGCCAAGTTTTCATGAATTAATTATTTTTCGACTACCTAACCTACCTAACCTAACCTAACCTAACCTAACCTATAAAGATAGGTTAGGTTAAGTTAGGTAGGGTTGGTTAGGTTTGGTCATATATCTACGTTAATTTTAATTCCAATAAAAAAAATTGACCTCATACATAATGAAATGGGTAGCTTTATTTATTTATTTATTTATTTATGCATATACAAGAATGTACATAAGGAATGTGAGGATACAATTATGGTAATTACAGTCTTGTAAAGCAACTAGCACGCGCAGCGTTTCGGGCAGGTCCTTAATCTTCGGTCATTTTTACGACATATATATATATATATATATATATATATATATATATATATATATATATATATGTCGTATCTAGTAGCCAGAATGCACTTCTCAGCCTACTATGCAAGGCCCAATTTGCCTAATAAGCCAAGTTTTCATTAAATAATTGTTTTTCAACTACCTAACCTAACCTAACCTAACTTTTTCGGCTACCTAACCTAACCTAGCCTATAAATGTAGGTTAGGTTAGGTTAGGTAGGGTTGGTTAGGTTCGGTCATATATCAACGTTAATTTTAACTCCAATAAAAGAAATTTGACCTCATACATAATTAAATAGGTAGCTTTATCATTTCACAAGAAAATAATTAGAGAAAATATAATAATTCATGAAAACTTGGCTTATTAGGCAAATCGGGCCTTGCATAGTAGGCTGAGAAGTGCGTTCTGGCTACTAGGTACGACATATATATATATATGTATATATATGTATATATATGTATATATATATATATATATATATATATATATATATATATATATATATATATATATATATATATATATATATATATATATATATGTATGTCGTACCTAGTAGCCAGAACGCACTTCTCAGCCTACTATGCAAGGCCAATTTGCCTAATAAGCCAAGTTTTCAAGAATTATTTGTTTTTCGACTACCTAACCTAACTTACTAACTTAACCTAACTTTTTCGGCTACCTAACCTATAAAGATAGCTTAGGTTAGGTTCGGTCATATACCTACGTTAATTTTAACTCCAATAAAAAAAAATTGACCTCATACATAATGAAATGGGTAGCTTTATCATTTCAAAAGAAAAAAATTAGGGAAAATATATTAATTCAGGAAAACTTGGCTTATTAGGCAAATTGGGTCTTGCATAGTTGGCTGAGAAGTGCGTTCTGGCTACTAGGGACGACACACACACACATATATATATATATATATATATATATATATATATATATATATATACAGTACTATATATTTATTTCCCTATACCACCCCTCTTTTCCTTCTTCCAAGTGCTACCTTCATCACCTTCCAAACTTACTAACATCTTTTAAGATGCTAGAGGAGTCTTAGTGAGGATGATTTTTTAAATTTTTTATTTAACAATAATAGATATAAGTGAAATTTGTCATTTAGTATGAAGTAGAGTTATGGGGCCTGGCCCAAACCTGTGTACTGCCCATAGCCCAGTCCATTCACCCTGCAAAATTTCATGAGGCTAACTAGCCCCAAACATCTGGCTGCTTACTTTGGACAAACAAGTGTATATTTTCTCTTACAGTTATGGGTAATAATAAATAATAATAATCATTATATTATTATATTTAGGGATATATAATACATTTGAATTTACCTGAGGAGCCATTAACAGGACGCTAGCAGCTTGTTAAAGGTCCCCTCATTTGCCCTGAATACATTATTTTGATACACGTATTCTGAATACAAACTTTTCATATATAATAGTGAAAATACATTGTGTTTTAACAATGTATGTTATATATAGCCACTATAAACCCGGAGCTTTTTTTGGCATAAAATATATTATAATTTTGTCACTTAGGTGATTGCATAAGATTATACTCAACACAGTTTTGTATGACAAAACAGTATATGATACTTTAATTCATACAGCCGCGCTCCTGTGCCATGGCAGGTAAGTCCACTACAGGCTCACCTGAACCAGTCACGTCCTACTTGGAACTTTTTTTCAGATCGAGTAGCTGAATCTAAAACAACATACCAAGATTACCGTAAATACCGCACCGTGCACGTATACTTGTTACTGATCTGTCTATAAAATACAACACTGATGTACATAAGAAGTAAACAAATAACCGGTACTAGAGTTTCTCCAACCACTTACCGACATTGTTATGTGGGGGCAATAGTGTGCCTTGTACTAGACCGTATAGTGAGCAGTAGCTGTCAGTGCTCAGACTGACAGGCAGTACACTTATGTTAGAAAGGTCGCAAGTTGTTGTGGAAGGCAGCACGTAACACCGTTGTGGACCAGACGCACTGAATCAGTTGTGGAAGGCAGCACGTAACACCGCTGTTGACCAGACGCACTGAATCAGTTGTGGAAGGCAGCACGTAACACCGCTGTTGACCAGACGCACTGAATCAGTTGTGGAAGGCAGCACGTAACACCGCTGTTGACCAGACGCACTGAATCAGTTGTGGAAGGCACCACGCAACACTGCTGTTGATAAGACGCACTGAACCAGGAAACCGAGTGATCGAGGCTCCGGGATATGATCGCGTTCAGGTCGTGTTCGTGGCGGGTGTGTGAGTACGGCCGCCCCCGCCCACGACACGTACAAGGGTGATAACGTTGATTCATCGTCGAACCACCACCACTGTGCCCACCGAGCTCGTACTTAGTTAATGGGTAATATATATATTCCAGTACGTATTTCTGATATTCATACACATTCTCACTTGGAATAAAACCTTGGTTTATATAAAATCTGACCCCCCCCCCAACACCCAAACCATCCCAACATCTACCTGCTTGTGGGTTGCCAACCAGCAGCTTCTTGCCCCCTAAATACTCTTCCCCCCTCCCCTCCTCTCCTCTCCCCTCGACCTGAACTGGTGAACATAACATATTGCAGTTGTCATTGGTTACAAATGTGACGCCAGTGAGATCCATGGAAACGCTGCTCTGTTGGTGGTTTATTAAACACATGAACCTATGTAGGTTTATAAGTAAATAAAAACACACACACACACGCCTCCCATGGCTGTGGACAGCGCTCACATTCATGGGCCATAATCCGAAGGGCCCGTGTTCGATTCCCGGCCAAGGCAGAATAAATGGGCAGGCTTTCTTTTACCTAATACACCTATTCACCTAGCAGTACAAAAAGTACCGAGGTAAAAAAGTCAGCTCGTTGTGGGGTTACATCATGTGGAAGGTCAATAGTTCGATCTTGTGGGGGGGGGGGGACCTCGATATAAGCCTAACATGTATCTACACTGGCTGCCTGTCCCCACCACAATAAATTGGACGAATAAACTATTAATTCCACATAATGTACTCATCAGTGCAAATTTGTATTAATTGCATCTTACAGTATTAGTACCTATTATCTTTTACTACACTCTACTGTAACTGTATGTTTAATACCACCATAACAATGGGATTACGACACACCGCCTTCAGAGTCAATAATGCTGTCACCAGCCACTCGTAAATGGGGTTGTCAAGGTCCACTGCACACAAAAATACGGGAATCTCGCTCCGGTACGTATATATCCTGGACGGTCACAATTAACACCCCCAGGGGCGGGTGTATACGTGTCACCAGGCTACCTAAATGAATGAATGCCACTTTGCGGTCTTGCATTAAGATCAATATTTACCTGAGGGAGGCCACCATTTTTAGTGGCCTCGGCGGGGACAGGAACTCGCCGGCTTGTCAGAGATTCCACCATAAGTTTTTCCAACAAAATTTTAAATATTGTCATTGCCAAATTTCCCACTATCGTTGGGTGGAGAGGTATATGCCAGGGCCAGGATTTATCAAGCTTTTATGCAATCACTTACGAAACCTGTACATCTTTCCCCAAATTAATAATTAATTATAATAATAAATAATTCATTAATTTGTATCGGGGGACAGGAAGCCAGAGTGTATTCATACACGTTAGGCTTATATCAAGGTCTGCGCCTGACAGCTGAGTGGACAGCGCTTCGAATTCGTAGTCCTGAGGTTCCGGGTTTGATTCCCGGTGGAGGCGGAGACAAATGGGCAAAATGTTTCTTTTACCCTGATGCCACTGTTACCTAGAAGTATATAGGTATACCAGGGAGTTAGACAGCTGCTACGGGCTGCTTCTTGGGGGTGCGTATCAAACAGGAGGCCTGGTTGAAGACCGGGCCGCGGGGACGCTAAGCCCCCGAAATCCTCTCAAGATAACCAAGATATCTCAAGATAACCCCCCCAAGGTCGAATTACTGACCCCGCCATGAATGCAACCCCACAACAGGCTGACTAACTCCTGATCGAGTACCTACTTACTGCTAGGTGAACAGATGCATTAAGTGAAAGGAAATGTGCCCAACCATTTCTTTCCCGACCGGGATTCGAACCCGAAATTCTCGATTGTGCGTCGAGAAGGAGTCCATTTTAGGACCAACCCTTTTTGTCATATACCTCAAAGACTTAGATGATAATATTACAAACCACATCATCAAATTTGCAGAGGACACAAATATTTATGGTAAAGTGGGAAATTATAATGATATTGAAGCCTTACAAAGAGATCTACATGAATTCCACAATTGGCCAGAAGACTGACAAATGCTTTTTAATGTCGACAAATACAAGACCCTGCATGTGGGGCATATAACAACCCACGCCATGAGTACCAAATTAATAGCATTACATTACAGTAGATTGATGAAGAAAAGGAGTTTGGAGTCAAAATCCACCATTCATTAAAAGTTGCACAACAGGTGGGTGCAACAGTCAGAAAAGTTAACCAAACTCTTGGGATAGTCATGCGTACTTTTGACTATAAGGAAAAGAAGGTAATGATTCATCTGTATAAATCTCTGGTCCGCCCCCCATTTGGATTACCGTATCCAAGCATGGAGACCTCATTTTTCAGGACATAACGCTCTGGAGAAAGTGCAACACTGGACAGTAAAAGTCATTCCAGAGCTAAGTCATCTCTCGTATCAGGAACGGTTGAAGGCCACAGGGCTAAACACTGCAAACCAGGCTTGACAGAACAGATATCATTGAAACTTTTAAAATAATGAACAAGTTAGAGGATGTTAATCCGGACAATTTCTTCAAAAGGTCAGATGTAACATAAACAAGGAGCAACGGTTTCAAGCTCAATAAGCCACAATGTAGGACTGTTACGGTCTGCTTGAGCCAGTAACTGGGTTCTTTCTTCTTAATGGGCCTTAGAGCCTCTTCTTCTCTGATCCCACCTTATGTCAATGGTAAGTTATCAAGAATTGGCGGTAGCAAGTAATTGTGCAAGAAATAAAGGGGAGTAAACAAGACGACCTAACACCTTCAATATATTATCTATCGAAGTATAACTACACTTATGTACACATAGTGTCTCCTTCACACAGAACACCTGTTTCAGAACAGGATTTGCATTTAAGAACAGGATTTTGTAAATGAAGATGGCACAAGAGAATGTATGGAGTGAGTTTATGTTTAGCATGTTTAGGGATTTAAATAGGGGGGGGGGGGCTGAGTGTTGTCTGAAAGCAGAATTTGTTATTGTTCTGAAAACAGATTTTTGCTGGCTGATGATGGGCTTGAGGTACTTTGCAGTGGTTGAACCCCATGCACAGATACCATATGTAAGATAGGGGATAGATTAGCGCGTAGTATAGTAAGAGGAGAGCAACGTTTAGAACATAATGTCTGATTTTAGAGAGTATACCAGATATAGTATACCAACCAGAGAGTATACCAACCGTTTTTTGAGACTTTCTTGGCTATGTGCTGTATGTGGGTGCTGAAGTTGAGTCTCTTGTCTAAGTATTGGCCAAGGAGCTTTTCGTCATTTCTATTGCTGATGTTAACATTGTCTATCTGAAGCTAAATTGCATTTGTTGATTTAATTGCTTCCAAATAAAATGTAGTAGGTCTTTTCTATGTTTAGTGTAAGTTTGCTGGTTGACATCCAACACTGACATCCATGTTGTTTATAATGACTGTTGGAATTCAGATTCTTAGTATCCATTTTGCATGTTTGATTTTCAAGTGCTAGAATGGTTGACTTCAATCGAAGAAAATTGTTCCTCTAGCTTTCAATGTGTTAATTACATGTTGTAGTGCAGCTAATTCCGTACATGTGGAGCTAAGCCAGTTTTTTAGTCTTACACAAACAGTCAGTTCACATCTGTTGGCTTTGTACATCCTACAGGCTATCAAGCAATCTGCGCTAATGATTCATGACCTCACCCTACTGCAGGTGCTGCCGGAAATGCAGATCATGATAACGAGGAAAGGCTGATATCTAGAGTGCCAGAGTGGAGGTGTTGAGTCCTCATAAATAACAGACCTGCCAGTCATCACGCGCGGTAGGTACAATACCGGTGCTTCTTGCATCTAGACGTGTTCATAGTTCCATGTCGCACATTACAATTGTGACACAATCGTCACTTATAATTACACTTGACTCTTTAACACATATACTGTAACCTCTTTTTTGTATGAAGCCATGCCCATATATAATAAAATGAACAGTATTGGAGTAGACTGTTTCATGTGGATCCCATCCTATATTGGCCTCCGAATGCATAATATAGCTGATGAGTGAGACTATATGTATATGGGACTATTGATATATGCCTTGAACTGTGTAACTGTTTCATCAAGACTGTTACTTGCTTAGCTAAATGAATTTGGGGTTCAGTTCCTGAGTCTATTATGTGCCTCTGTAACGTTTTCCACTACTGCCCAGGGTATGGGTATGGGGGTCCAACATGTCTTTAGAGCAGGGAAATCATGCCTGACGAACCTCCTGGAGTTTTATGATAAGAAAAGAAAATAAGCAAGACAGAAGGCTGGGCCGATTGCATATTTATGGACTGCCAAAAAGCCTTTGATACATTGCCACACAGAAGGTTAGTATACAAACTTGAGAGGCAGGCGGGAGTGGGCGGCAATGCATTAACATGGGTAAGGAATTACCTAGTTTAGTTAGTTTAGTTCATTTATTATGCACCCCATACCCATCTTGTGGGTGGTAGTGGAAAGGGTTACAGAAGTACATAATGGGCTCAGGGACTGAACCCCACAATTCATTTAGCTAAACAAGTTACAATATTGATGAGCTAGTTACAAAATTCAGTATAAGTCTACACATCATAAATGGGTTCGAGATCGACCATAAGTGCAGTTTCTAAATTAAGCAACTAACATTTGTGGAGAGCTAGACGTGTCACAATTGATATTTTCTGTTCGGGGGAGAAAAAACAAACACACGCCTAGTTTGGGGGTACTTTTATTCATTTAGTTAAAAAAATTAAATTAATTTATAAATTATTAGTAATAATCTTATGGGGTAACAATTTGTTGTAAAGTAAGCTGAGGATTAGCTTTAAGTAAAACTTTTATGGCAGTGTTAAGCATAGGTGAATAAGTACAATGTAAATACCGAGATGTAGGAGAATAGTCCATAATGACTGTAGGTATATAATTATTGCGACATAAGAAGGGAAATAATATATAGTTCATTAGACTTAGTCGCCCAAGGTATAAAAGGAGAATACATTTACATTTCTCGGTTTTGAAGTTAGAGGTTACTAGAGCCTTTAAGAGTGGATTGATGGCAGAGGACTTAAACTATTAAACTTTAGTAGAAACGGCTCTTTGACAAATTAGGTGCGGTCGTACCAAACGCTCTGGGGTTCCGGCGGAACCCTTCCCCCCCCTCCTCCCCGCCACGTTTCCGTGGGCCCCGTTGGGCCCCTATTTGTCCCTTACTCCCACACGGGGCCCATTCCTTTATGGCCCCTTGGCTGGGCCCGACGACTCCCCCCCTCCCCCCTCCCCTCTTCTCCGCGGGCCCCGCTGGGCCCCCCATGAGCTCCTAATTTCCGTCCTTGAGGGGCCCCCTTCAGTTTTAGGCCCCTTGGCTGAGCCCCAACCAAGGGGCCAAAAACGAAGGGGGCGGGGCCCCGCAAGGGCGTAAAGGAGCACATGGGGGCCCAGTGGGGCCATGCGGAGAGGGGGGGGGAGGGTCGTCGGGTCCAGCCAAAGGGCCAAAAAGGAGGGGGGGGCCGCAAGGGCATACAGGAGCACAAGGGGGGCCCGCGGAGCGCATGACAGGGGGGGGGGGTGCGGCGGGCCCAGCCAAGGGGCGTAAAGCAAAGGGGGGGGGGCGTAAAGCAGCCAAGGGGCCTAAAACTGAAGAGGGCCCCGCGAGGGCGGAAAGGAGCATGTGGGGGCCCAGCGGGGCCCGCGGAGAGTGTGGCAGGGAGGGGGGGAGAGTCGTCGGGCTAGCCAAGGGGGCCATTAACGAAAGGTGGGGGGTCCCCGCAAGGGCGTAAAAGGAACACAAAGGGGGGCCCAACGGGGCAGAGGGGGAGGGTATCTTGAGGTTATCGGGAGGGTATCTTGAAGTTATCTTAAGATTAACGCCGGACCCAGCCAAGGGGCCTAGATATCTGAAAAAGCCCCGCATGGAGGGGAAGTGGCAAGCATGACCAGTGGGGCTCGCAGAGAATGAAGCAGGGAAGGGGGGTTGGGGGGGATCGTCGGGCCCAACCAAGGGGCCTAAAACTTAAAGGGGGGCCCACATGGGCGTAAGGGGGCACATGGGGGCCCAGTGGAGCCCGCGGAAAACGTGACAGGGAAGAGGGGAGGGGGTTGACGTCGGTCCCAGCTAACTGGCGTAAAACTGGTGGGGGCCCCGCATGGGCATAATAAAGGGACAAGATGGACACAGCGGGGCCCGCGGAGAGCGTGGCGGGGAAGAGGGGAGGGGGGGGGTTACGTCGGGCCCAGCCAAGGGCCTAAAGCAAAGGGGGCCCCGCCTAAGGGACAAAAGTGGTTCAGCGGGGCCCGCGGAGAACGTGGCGGGGAAGAGGGTAGGGGGAGAGGGGGGTCGATCGATCGTCGGGCCCAGCCAAAGGGCCTAAAACAAAGGGGCCCCGCCTGGGCGTAAGGGGGCACGTGGGGGCCCAGCGGCCTGCGGAGAGCGTGGCAGGGAGGAGGGGAGGGAGGATCACGGGGTCGTCGGGCCCAGCCAAGGGGCCATAAAGGAAGAGGCCCCGCATGTGCGTAAGGGACAATAATGGCCCAGCGGGGCCCCACGGAGAACGTGGTGGGGAAGAGGGGAGGTGGGGAGGGGGGGGGGGTCGTCCGCAGGCCCGCAGCCAAGGGGCCTAAAATGAAGGGGGCTCGCCTGGGCGTAAGGGGGCACGTGGGGGCCCAGCGGGGCCCGCGGCCTAAAACTGAAGGGGGGTGGCCGCAGGGGCGGAGAGAAGCACAAGGGGGCCCCGCGGAGAGCGGGGCAGGGGGGAGGGGAGGGGGGGCGGCGGGCCCCAGCCAAGGGGCGAAAAGCAAAGGGGGGGGCCCACATGGGCCTAAGGGACAAATAGGTGCCCTAGCGGGGCCCGCGGAGAGCGCGGTGGGGAAGAGGGGAAGAGGGGGGGGTCGTCGGGTCCAGCCAAGGGGGCCATAAAGGAAGGGCCCCTGCATCCGCGGAGAACGTGGCGGGGAAGAGGGAAGGGGGGGGGGAGAGGGGGTGAGCGTAGGGGCCAGGGAGGGGCCCAGCGCCTACCCGCAGGCGTAGTGGGGCCCTGCACGCGCACACTCCGTGGCCTGGAGGCCCGGGTGTAGACGAGCTGGAGCCCTTAGGAAGGCTCCCTAGGGGGGGAACCAGAACCTTGGGTCGCCTTACCACGCAGGGGCAAGCCTCACCACACACGTGGTGCGACGCTACCTGCGGGCTGAGGGGGAGCCCTGCACGTGCATGTAACATGGGGAGGGTGTCTTGTCTTATCTTTCCTCCTTCTTCCCCTCTCTACCCGTATTCTTACTTTTTATTTCTCTACAAGGGACTCCAAAACTTTTACTAAAGCCAACTCCACGCCACGTGGTCCTAAGGCGATTGACCAACTTAGGATTCTACAACCCGTATGACGTGACCTAGGCTTTGAGCAAAACCCTAGAGTCGCCTCCGCCGCCACCACCAGACCAGTAACACAGAGCAATGATCGAGGTCTGGATCGATCATGCTAATTAATCAACCTTGGGGCTTGATCCCCACTATAACCGATGACCTTGAGTGTGGAATAAATTACACGGTAAAGATGACTTCCGATTTGGTGTTAGAATCGGCGCCCAATTCAACTCTGCCTCGTGTGGACCACGTGACCAGGACAAGTTCATATACTGTACATATAACAAACACATGGAAATAATAAAAATGCAATTTATTAACTAATTAATTTATTAAAAGAAAAACTAAAACAAAATCTAAATGGTTATCACTCCCTACTTGACCTGAACGGCAATGAGTTGACTATCCCTATAAATAACAATAGCAACTATACCTCTATGTTGACCAGCTAAAGATGTTGGGCTGGTCTTGGGGGAGAGGTGAGATGGGTTGACCTCCCCCAGTTGATCTGGCGTCCACACTGATCTCTCCTCATCTGGTCTACCCCAGACTAGAGCATTGTATTGTTCCGCATCGCTTACCCAGTTACTTAGCCAGGTTTAAGTTATAACAATTAACCTCTGTTGTACTTAATTGATCCAGACTGGTTGAATTATTTTACTGAAGTTAAATTACACAAGCATCTAACGGCAGAGCTGTTCCCGATCACCAAAATGGTTATTTGAACTTTGAGAAATAGTGGACATGTCAACTCTGATGACCTATGACCGCCGGTCACTCGCGCCTTACAACTTAGATCTGATTCGTGACGTCACTGATGGTGACTTAACTCAATAATTAGAATACTCTTGATATTGTACCCAGTACTATTATACAATACAATTTTAATACAAAATGAATAAACGCTAATTTCTCTAAATTACTGAATACTATAGAATGGTTCATTATACAAAACTATGAACAAAGATGCCTGCCATTTGTGACTCAGACCTGCTAATCCCCAGAGGAATGTGCGTTGTTGAGGTCAGGTCCCTACACGAAACTTCTGGAACTTTCTGGAATAATTCTCACAACCAGCCTAGTTTGTTACATGCACACCACGTGTGGGCGCAGGGGGGGGGGGGCCGGGGCCCGTAGGAAGGACCCCTAGGGAGAAAAGAACCTTGGGACGCCAGGCCCCACAGGGGCGAGCCTCACCACACACATAGTGCGACGTCACCCGCGGGCATAGGGTAGCCCTGCACGTGCACATTGCGGGGCCCGGAGGACCCGGGTGGCCCGCATGGGCATGAAGCTGGCTAAGGGCGACACGTGCCCACATGGGCACGCACCACAGGGGGACACAGCGCTGGACACACGCCGGAGCACTAGGGACGGTCCTAACTAAGGGCGGGAGAACATGGACAGAACTGTACCTTTAGGGCATCCAGAGGTGGGAAGGGAGCCCCT